ATGGGAAAAGGTAAGTTGATATTTGTGGAGAATATATCGTTGATATGTGAAGTGTTTGACAAATTCTATAATTTTATGAAGAAAGTAGTTTTTCTGTCGAAGAACTTTTTTGCCAACCTAATATTTTTTTCGCTTCATGTATCTCGTACGCTTATTTTGCACTAAGATGTCCATAGGACCGGGTTTATCAATCCATCCTAGTGTGGACCTAGTATGGTAGGATGTTAAGAGCACGGAGTTGCCCTAAGTAGTGTGGTTTGTATCGGGTCATGGTGTACTTCCTATCGGGGCTGCTCAGGCCGGTTAGGTGTCCGCGTTGCACAGTGGCGGGCAGTGAGCGCGGTATGTCGTCAATGTGTTAAATGAATCATGGTTAGTTACGCTCGACTATACTCTACGATACAGGCTGAAGACCAGTGCAAGAACAACAGTGGAAAAGAGCAGTTTCTGTGCCATCACTGAAATGTTCTTATCAAGATTCTGTCCCTGCATGCTCACTTTTTTCTGGCTTAGGCCCTCGGCATTTTGAATTTGTTCCAATTTGAAAATGCTCACCTGTTCAAACATGCGGGAGACTTGTGAAATTACAAATTGTTGACGACCTCATGCCTACACAATTTTTTGAGTTTGTTGTAGTTATGCTGATTTTTGTCCATGTTGCATTGTGCTTTGTTGTGAAAGATGTTGCTTGTTGTGTTTTTTTTTGTGCTGGATGGTGCGAGCGAGCAACCGTTTCCCAAAGTTGAGTGAGCTCCCTTGCAGAAACAACCGGAGATGGCGAATGCGCACGACCTCGAGCAAAGATGCTTCAAGGCCCTGCGCGGGAGGGCCGCAGCGCAGCACGGTCAGGCTGATCGTCGACTGTGAAGATCGCGGATCCTTGGTTGTCTACCGCATTTGAATCGCCCACGAAATTCATAGTCAGTTTGCATGATGCAATCATGCTGACCGGTCGCCTTCGTTTGTCACCGCTTCGGCCTTCAAGAAGGTCGATTCGTTCTTTCATGTATCACTAGCATAGGGCGGACCACACATAGGCCAAATTATCCTTCATTTCGCTTTAAAAAGATAATATTCACTCTTTTCCATAATAGTAAATACTAGCAAGTGTTCCTTCCCCCCACTTCCCCTCTCAATAGTAGTAATATTTTGCAGTTAGTAGTTAGTTCAGTCAAGATTTACGGGAGTTCACTTTTTTGTAGTTAATATCTTTTCGTAGTAGTCGTAGAATACTGTTTATCATAGTTTTTCTTGTGTAGTTCTACTTCATTTTCTTAACAGTTTTACAGGTTTATTGTAATGTCATATCATATTATGCCTTGCTTCATATGAAGCTCAGTAAGTATTTCCTTTCGTCACATAGTTAAACATACGCTCGCATTCGCATACACCGCGCCACGCCTTTCACATAATTTGCATGTAGCCTTGTCGAACATCTGACCACTTACATATCATCCAGCAACATCAAGGACTTGACGCACGCGCAAGCACGCAACGTACTTGTTGGGGTCAGGGAATAGGCCCTGCACATGAGCCCGCAGCAGGCACGCAATTCAGAGCATTCGCCGCGCACGCATTCCCTTCCGAGGTGATTGTGGGCACCCACTGGAATCCCACGTTTTGCCGGGTCCCGCGGACAAATCATCGATGCCACTGCTCGACCCCGTCCACGGGCCCGACAAACTTCCCACCGTAAAACTTACTGCCAAAACAGAACCGAAACTCATTGAAACTAGGTAATAATTACTTTTTTCAAACTTACACAATAAAAGAAAGGCGAAATATGGGATATGAATGAGATCACACTGTAAGTCGCCCACTCACTTGGTCTGAGGCTTCTGTTGTATCTCGCAGTTCGGATGCGAGATTTACCTCTCCAAAACGTCAACAATAAGTAAAGTGCTGTTGCCGTTCAAATTGTTATAGTGCTATGCCAAGTTTGCGATCAGACCTCGCCATGTCAAAGCCGGATGGCTACATGTTTTGATCAGCCAACTGTGCATTAATCATGCTCGACCCTTTCTGGGGAGATCGATGCAAAGAGTAGGAGCTTTTGAATAAAAATCTGAGACACTTGGCGATTCTGCGACTTGCTCGCGCAATGGCCACTCATCTTCAGGCTACTACACATTCACCACGAATTAAGGAGCACTCAAGAGTAGCGATCATTCATACTCCGCTTTCCAGGATATCACAACCAAAACAATCACTGAATGGTGGTTGAACACCTTGATCAGATACGGACTTGCTATAACATGCTGGCCAATCCCTCCTATCGTATGCTAGTGCCATTGAGCCTAGCGGAGTTGAAACTTGAGAAGGTGGCATAGGTAGCGTTACGGTCTACTGGACGCTTGACTGACTAGCAGTGAAACTCAATGCTCATTCATTGTCTGCCGCTGTGTTGTTGTGCCCCAATAATATGCAGGCCACATTCACCTCAACCATGCAATGCACGCATAGAGCGTCATCCACAAACTGCTGAGGGTGCATGCTGAGGTAGTTGAGATTGATAGGACCTGCCTGAAGATGTGATCTACAAAAGCCATCGAAGTGTATTAAACGATCGACGATGCGGTATTACTAGTGCACCATCGCGATTCTCGGAGTTAGCCCACGACGAGTTTAAAGATACCACACCAGCAAATAGCGCTGTTTCTGAACCCGTGAAGAAACTTGCTTTGAATGCTATATCACTAAATCACTACAATCTTGTTCACGCATTTCCGAAACTTCACCAAAAGTTCGGTAACACTTTGTCATGAGCCAAGGAGTCCAGGAATTAGGGCAACTTCTCCGTAGCATTTTTTTAAACTCATACATTTCTTCAGCACGAATGATGACACGAAATACTTGTCGGAGATGGTCCTAAATCGACATACCGCCTCGAACCACGTACAAGACTACCACGAGGCGGTCCACGAAGTATTTCAACAATAAATCAGCGTCGCAGCCATCTTACAATGAAACTACACAAAAATGAGGAGATGCTTGGAACTCCAGCTTTGGAAACCAGAACCATTCCCAGGCAAATGAAGGACTTAGCTCATACCAAGGAAACAATCTCGTGTATGGAAGTCCGATTCATTTACACGAGCTGATATAACAAAGAAGTGACACATCTGGGAGAAATATATGCCAATGTTTCCGTCAAGCAATGGAACAGGGAAGCCGAAAGTATGTATGCTGCTCAGCTCAGGCAAAAGAAGAAACTCTCCAAAGAAGTGACTGTCATGACTTTGCCATGATACGACCTTCAAGGTGGATCTTGCGACACGTCATCCTATTGATTAACTAACTCAAAACCTGCGTTCAAATTGCCGCTGGCCGCACTGCCAGTCCATTCCAACCAGCCATTCCAACGGACCGCCCCCTGGCCCGGGTATAAATACCACCCATTTCTGGAGGGTATAAATACCGCAGTTTGAGACTTTCGGCCAGTGTTACCACGTTATCTCGCCAGCTCCTCTCTCCATCGTCTCCGCCGGTCTCCCTCCAGCTACTATTCAGCCAATATCCTAAGTCACAAATCAATGTCCAATTGCCCATTACGAATCCAAAGGAAGGCTAACCAGACATACTGCTAACTGAAGTAGGAATGGATTGTATATGTTGTGATATAAGAGATGTCAATAATTTTTAGTGTTCATAATTGCTGTATGTAGTAAATAATTTGACATAAGTCGCATCATAGTGTAATCTATCGTCCTACCTTCCATGGTCAAATATCGGACTCGAGTTAGAGAAGCCTGAAACGTATTTCAATGAAGGCCCAGGTCATACAAATGCTGAACAATTCAAGAAATTGTTCCACAAAGCCTTTGGAAATCTAACTGCATCAGAGGATAACGCGACAAGCGGTTTGCTGATGTTCAGAAAAAACATTGACTTAAAAAAGAACTGGCAGTCTGAAGAAAGATCGCGTTTCAAATGCTGCAAACCGAATGCTGAAGTCGATCCAAATATGGAGATGATAAGGACCTGCTAGTATGGGTAAGAAAGCAAACCGGAATCAAGATCCACCCGAACTAGCGCTTGAAGATGATAATGACGAGGGAGAATGGGAAATGCGGTCGGAAGGCGGTGCACAACGGACAATTGAAGAAGTCAGCCCAGTAAGAAAAAGCAATCACGTTCTTGAAGTGGCGCGCCTGCACCAACATTCGAATCCCGTCAAAGTAATTAAAATCGAACTCAGAGATGAATCCAGACATGTTCAACTGGATGGAAAGAGAGCTTCAGAATTTCCCTTACAGAAAAAATGAACCGCGTACTTCGAGTAGAAAGCCAAAACTGGTATATGCGTTTTGCGATAAGGAGTAGAAGCATTTCTCCGGCTCATGTCCAATATCACGACGAATCTAACTTGTAGAGCCGTACACCGTAGAGGAATGACAGCTCGTCAATTTCGAACCGTGTTCGACTATATTACCACAAATAACATCTTACGGGATCCGCGTTTGTGCTATCACTATTCTAGATATAAGGGGCGACACCAGCGCGTCCCGCTGATTACGAGGTGGTGTCAGGAATAGTTTCAAACTTTGTTAGAGATAGTTCAACATAATACACAATCATTTCATAACCTTGCAGTAATCCTCGTCGGACGCCAACCGCTTGAGATCAGATATACTCATCTCATGGGTTGGATACATGAACTGATGCACAACATTACTGCAATTTCAGTCAATCGCTATATACTTCAAGAATTAATGTTGCCTCGGCTGTTTCGTTGGTCTCAAGATCCAGATTACTTAAGAGCTACTTTGCAGTCATTCAGTATTACAGAAGAAACATTTACAGAATTTAGCTGTATCCGCTCACGCGGCTCGCATGAACAGAGTTTTAGGAGCTCACCAAATGGTCTACTTCCTTAATAGAAGAAGAGTGCGAGTCACGCAAGAGGATGAAGAATACCGACTTAGTTCACAGATGCACATGCCACCTCCATGGCCGGAGGAACCGGAGTCGTATATCCAAACCCTCCGTTGGTGGCGGACAATTATTCAGATGCGCTCATGATTAGAGCACGGACGAGTACTTGCAGATCTCGTCAATGGACAGACGTCTGCAGGAACATGCCCGAGGCCAATAGCGCCCAATAGTTCAACGTCCAGTCCAGCCTCTAAGGACAATAGAAGGTTTCAAGGCTAGCACCATTTACCACATGGCCTACTGATAATCCAATATTACCTGCCTCTATGCCCCCAGGTTGGACAACGCTCCACCTTTAGTGGAAGACCCGGCCAGAGCCCACTGCATTAGGCAAGAGGAGGATGGACACAAGCAATACAAATCGCGAGGTTGAGGAGATCACGTCTTAGTTCAGAACATCGTTCACTCAGTCGTAGTTCATCCAGAAGACCACAGGAACGCGCACCCGCTCCACATCGCTCTCGATCTGCATTCCCAACGCGTTCAGCGCCTTCGGAATCGCATGGAGAGTGGAGCCTGCGTCTTCTGTCGTAAAGAAGGTCATTATAGTTCAGATTGTGACTCCTATCCTTACCTCAGCGACAGGGCTCATCTGGCTTCCAGGGACGGTATTTGCAGCAACTGCCTCAAGTCACACTTCGGGATATGTATCCGCAAGGATCCTTGTAGCATATGCTACGAGGAGGGTCACCATAGGGCATTCTGTGCCCAAAATTCCTTTGCCATCTACGAATCAGATTTGAGCCCTCAGATGTTCTATGATCAACTGAGGCGACAAACCTATCGTCCACACCAAGGTGGGCTAATGGAATCAATAGCAACATCGAGGACATTGACAGGGAGTCTTAGGGTTAGAAGTATGAATTAAAGAGTGTTGGTGAACCCGCCTTAACGTGTTGAGATCCGTTTAACCTGTTAGTAACATGTTGGTGGATGGTATTGCAAGAATATCAGTATAGTTCAGTCTGGTTTCGATCGCCACTGCGAGCAGTGGCTTTCCCCCGGTCCCTCGTCGTTCTTATTTTTGTTTCTGTGTGACTTGTTTCACTAATAAAACTTAGTGAAGACTAGTGTCTTGAAACATAAGGACGGCTTTGAGGGGCAGAGCCGGACCAAGCTTTTACGGAAAGGTGATAACTGATAGATCCCCTAGAACCGAAAAGCCACTTGGGGGCCGAACCCAAAACTTGATTGATCACTTGGAACCTGCATCACAGAGAGCCAATCCTCTGCTATTCAGGTTCTGAATAACCTCTTCTCAAATTGGCATATCTACCAGAGGAACTGGTTAAATTTCTGAGATTTCAGAAATGGAATCTGGTGAGGCGCCAATGGAGCAGGACGCCGAGAACAACCGAGTTGTTGACAAGGTAAATGCTCAAAATAACCTATCTAGAATCGTTCTAGAGCAGTGTCAAAAGGCGTTTGAGGAAAATTTTCGACATGTCAGTCTGAAAAAACGTGAAGATTTCCTCACGTCGGTCAAAAATGCTATAGAGGAGACTGATCCTACCACTCTATTACTTCCTCCACATGACTGCTCTAGTAACGATAACGAAATTAACTCCAATATGATTACCACGCTAGCAGCTCAAGAAAAGAAAATAACGTTGTTACAGGCGGAGATAGAGAATTTGACCAAACGGCTGGAGATGACCGCCCATCTGAAAATAAGCAAGAAAAAAGGTGAGGGAACACCTTCAAATCTTAATTGCTCACAACATAGTTGCTCTGAGAACGACCAGTTACAGACTCGATCAAAACCGTCAATGAATCAGAACAAGTCGGCAGGCTGGCCGCACCCATGCCGAGAGGTCGGACTATTATGGAAAATCGAGTCCATCGTGGAACAACTTTTCCCAAGAGCCATCATCGGGTGAGCATTGTGAACAACCGTTTGATAAACCATATTTTTCTGCAAATATCGAGTCTGGAGGTCTCTTGCTAGTTTTGAAAGAAATGATGAAGGCAAATACAGCGCCACCCATCAATAAATACAATGGTAACACCCCTCTTGACGAGTTTGTAAAAAGCCTCAACACAAAATATCCCCCAGGGTTGTGGTCGGACCCAGAACGGTGTAGTATTTTGGCCAACCATCTAGAAGGTAGAGCTAAAGCTGCGTATGAAAATTTACCAGAAGAAATAAAAGGCAGCTCATTTACCGCTGTGATAAACTCACTGCAGGCAGCACGTAACGAAACAGGCGAAAGACTACTTGCGCTAGAACAGTGGAAAAATCTGAAGAAGCACCCACGTGAGTCCGTGGACGACTTTTGCATCAGAATGGAAAGAATCTGTAGACTCGCACATCCAGGGCAAGACATGGATTTCGAGCTAGGCTCGATGTTGTATACATCACTAAGATTCTGGTCCAATTCTTACCATATGTTAGCAG